TTGCCGCACAGCTTGCCTTGGCAACCTGCCTCTCGCCACCACCACCTCTGCATGCCTCGGAGTACTTCATTCGGGTCAACCCGCCCATGCACCACTCTCGTGGCTGGGCTGCCCTCTACCTACGCCATCCCGTTCGTGCACGACAAACTCTCCCGTTTCTTGATTATCCTTGGAAAAGCAAGACGATATAGTATCTGGCGAAGTTTACATGTATTGAAACAACTTTGAAAGTAGAGTTCGATCCAGGAACGTGAGGACGCGAGCCACAGTGGCGCGCTGCAGATCGACGACGCATATTGGATAAACGCTAGTCTATAGCGCGCGTTGAGCGTGTTACAGTCTCCACTCTCATTCATTGCGCACTACTTGGTGCTTCAATAGAATGCGGACAACGTCTTGGCGTCCATAACGTTCGGCAATGTGCAAAGCTGTATCGCCACCCTGGTCTCTATCCTCGATGATAGCCCCGTGGTCTAACAAGATGCGAGCGACCTGGGCATGTCCCCACCTTGAGGCGTTGTGCAAAGCGGTCTGCCCGGCTTTGTTACGAGCGTGGCACCGAAGAGTGGCTACTTCGATGCCGTCTACCGCGGGGTATTCTAGAAGGAGAGTTACGACGCTCGAGTCCCCAAGGAGTGCAGCGCAATGCAAGGGAGTGTCGCCGTCGTCATCAGCGTCCTCTACGAGGGCTCCATGATCGAGTAGAATGCAAGGTATTCCTGCGCGTCGCCACCGTATAGCATGATGCAACGCGGTACGGCCATTTCTATCGCGGGCGCTGCAGAGAAGAGGAGCGGCATCTAATCCCTGTTTCTTGCAGTGCTCCAAAAAGACACGCACAACGCTGAGATGTCCATATAAAGCGGCAAGATGTAAGGGGGTGTTTCCATTCTTATCAGTGTCATGGACACGAGCTCCATGGTCAAGCAGGATGCGAGAGATTTCAGATAATCCCTTCTCTGCAACAGTGTGCAATACCAACTGTCCTTGCCAACCCCGGATACCACACAGAGCGGCGGCGACAGCACTGGACTCATTTGCCGCGACGACACTTAAGATCTCACGAACAACGTTCACGTGTGCGCAAGATACAGCAAGATGTAAGGGAGTTTCCCCACTTCTATCGATGTCGTCGGTGAGAGCCCCATGATCAAGCAGAACACGAGCAACGTCGGCATGGCCCCGGCTCGCGGCATCATGCAATGCAGTCCGCCCAATAGTATCGCGAGCGCGGCAATGAGATGTGGCGGCGTTGGGCACGTCTACTATTGCCGAGTATTCTAGCAGGAGTCGAGCGACGTTTGCATGTCCAGACAATGCGGCACAATGCAGTGGAGTTTTGCCTTGTACGTCAGAATCATTGCCGAGGGCACCATGATCGAGCAGAATCCGAGATATATCAACATGTCCGCATTCTGCTGCGGTATGTAACGCAGTTCTTTCATGACTATTGCGAACTCTGACGGCTGGGCCGACGATGACAGGAGACAAATCGCCCTGCTGATTACGTATCATCCTGTGTACATAGCGTGCAAGCCCCAGCCTAGCAGCCCAATGGAGAGCAGTGTCGCCATGGCTACCAGATGTTCGTCCCGCGGTAGCCCAGCGAGTGAATAACGCAGAGTCTAGGTCGAGGAAACGAGAGAGAAGGCCTCCGAGAATGTCAGCGTTTTGATAAGATACGTGTTTGAACCAGTTATAGTTTGCATATGAAAGGAAATCAGAGCGTGCTATGTCCTGGCCAACTTCTGCGAGGTAGTGATCGATCCAATTTGACGACATGGAGCAGTCATTCTTCTTGATAGTAGACACAAGGTACCTCTTCGCAGAAGCGATTCTGAGTTCAGTAACCTTATCATGTCCGTCCGACATGGGAAGAGTCTCTCTTCGGACTACAATATCAAGTAGGCCCGCCAGACAGTTCTCATCCGACAAAGAGTCACCCAAGAAGGCTGAAAGGCATATTCTTGCGAGCGTGAGGTCGGAAGAGGCCTTGTCGAACCAGTAGAGACTTGCGTATGTGATGGCACATTTGAGTTGAGGCGAAATGAGGTATTCCTGGGCAGAGAGATGGATGAATTGCACGACTTTTCTCCTTTCCCAAGGAAAGAAAGTCTCGTTCATAACGACGATATTGAGAAGACTCGGGAATTTCTCGAGTACAAACTTCTCCAGGTCATCGACGGAGGCTTCGATGTTTAGAGTGAGTGGTACGTCCGGGGAAGAATCGAAATCCACGGATAATAACGCAAGAACTTCAGCCAGGTATATCGGACGTTTAGCAAACGCAATGCATTCAAAGACGTGGCGAGCCCGATTGATCATGTTGGGTCGTGCCGGAAAGTTGCACAATATCCGCTCGTATGTCTGATTGAGGTCAGGTGGCAGATCGTCCAATACACGCTCAACGTCTTGATCGGCGCAGTGCCGCAAATCTTGGAGCTGGAGATTGACCCAGAGAAACCTAGCTTGAACTCAGTACGAGCATGTCACACAGGAGAGGAGAAACATCGGCTCACATTCCGTTTGATCTCTGAGATAGAAGCTCTCGAGCTTTCTTTTTGGTGCTGTCCGACCACTGGTAGGTTGTTCTATCACATAATCGAGCAGATATATAGCGTTGCAAGTCGTCTTGGTGCTGATGATTGTCGTGGAAGCTGAGCGAGTGCGTGGAGAGACTCGACACATACTCCTCGATATCAGGTTCGGGACGGCTCGTGACGAGCAAGCGAAGATCATCCCTGGCAAGACCATGGAGATCCTTCAAAAACCGGAATAAGTATCTCTCACGAACAGGTTCAGGACATTCATCCAGAGCGTCGATAACAATGACCGTGCTGCCAGTCAAATCCAAAAGCCTTGTGAGCATAACGAAGAGTTTCTCGTAGGTAGGAGTGTCATACGCCCCAGAGTCGCGGTGCTCCTTCTTTAGGAAGCCGAGGCCGTCTTCGCAGCGAGTACCAATCTGGAAAACAAGAGAGGAAACAAGCCCTCGACAGTCCTGCTTTTCAGGATCACTGAAGTCGAAGTAAAAGTAGACGAGAAAACCCGTAGCATTCCTTTTGATCGCATCGATGACTGAGGAGCTGCCACAAAGACTCGGAGATTAATCGATGGCAATAAGGCAGAACTCAAGTGTCGCACCATAGGACGCTCTTCCCAGAGCCAGCTGGAAGGCTGAGTTAGCAGTGCCGCTTATGAGAAAGGATGTGCGACACACCATTACCGTAAACCCAGTAAAGCCCGTTTTTGCACATCTTCCAATTCTCGAATTGATCATTGAAGAACCACTGACAGCTGTCGGCCTTCCTCTTTCTCTCGTAGTTGTAAGGTTGTGGGTCAGGTGGACGGAGCCATACACGAAGGTCATTGATGACTGGGTCGTGTGGTAAGACGAGCAGGGCCTAGTGAGAATAAACACAAGGCTACGCACCTGTGCTATCGTATACGGCGTCTACTTTCGGTTGCACTTGGAGAGGAGTCAGCTACCGAGGAACTAGCGGAGCGGAAATACAGACTCTTCCGAACAACAGTATGTGTGACCGCAACGGATGCCAGCTGCTCCTCCTTCGCGAGCTCTTCAAGCTCCTTGAGGGCCTCCTCCACGTCCGATTCGCCCAGAAACCCGCGCGAATAGTCCTCTAACCACATAGAGTAAGTCACCGTCACGACAGAACATATGACAAGCTCACTGATACGTTGCATCATCGCTTTCACGCCTTTCTTGCCCTTCGACCTCGAATCCTTATCGCCGGCTTTGTCGCAGTATTTCGTCACAATCCCCAACACGACGAGGACCTGAACAAACGACATGCGGAGGACGTCCATAAGTGCCGGGTTCGGCGGTGATGGTAGATCCAGATAGACTTCAATACGGGCGAGGCACGCATTGACCTTCTGAAGGAGTAACTCGATGGCATCGTAAAGCGCACTGACACCATTCGCAGCCTGTGTCTGGTTAGCGAGTGGTAGATGGGCGCAGATAGAAGCACATCGTTACCTGCAGCAGTGCTCCCACAGCTACAAATATAGCTTTGCCACCCGGTGTCACTTTCTGTTCAGCACTTAGTTGATAATTCTTCATGAGGGATGCAGATAATTGAACGTACAGAGGCTCCCTCAGCCCCTGCGTCAATGAAAAGGTGCACGATGTGCACAATGGGCTTTAGCACATCCAAGACCTTTCTCCCTCTGTCACGAAAGGCTTCGAAGGAATCGTTTTGCTCTTCGATGTACTGGATGACTTCGTCGGTAGTGCGAGAGCGAGAGAGAAGATCGCTCGCAAAAGGTAACTTGAGCAGATTCATTCCTGTCTCCTCTTGATAACACCGTATGGCCTCGTTCCAAAGGTCGTCAAAGCCGTACGCGTGCCGAGCTGAGTCCTCGTCCGAGGACAGTATTGACGATCCAGGCGCAGGTTGCAGAGGCATGGGCGTTCGATAAGATGGTGGGCAAAGCTAAGAAGAACAGTTTAAGCTCTAGTTCGCCCAAGGATCCTCGTATGCGGCACCCGTGCGAAGAGAAATGACCAATAAAGCACTGCAGGGAGGCGAGGCACTGCCTCTAAACTTCCTTACGAGTTCAATACTTAGGTAATGATGTTGGGCCAGCGCGCGGAGAGCCGCCATGGAGTAGTACACTCCAAAATCCCGAGCATTGATTGGCCAGATGTAGGCGGTGGACAGCACTGGTAACTGGACACCATGGTTCATGCAGGTGGCGAGTGAAAGACAACAAGCGCGCGCTTGTTGCGGCCCGGGGTGCGCGTCTACCTACCGGAATTTGCCGCACAGCTTGCCTCTCGCCACCACGACCTCTGCACGCCGGGTGCATCCGGGTTTCCCGCCAATACACTTTCTCGTTACTGGAATCCCTACAGGATGCACACGAAAGCCACGCAATCCCGAACTTAACCTTCACACAGCTCCGAGTCTACGAGCGTGTTTCGCACGCAAATGACGGCCGCTCTTCTTCGGATTGCATGCATGCATAGACTGTCACCCCCGATAGCTCAACGGTAGAGCGCAAGACCCGTATACAATGCTTTGATCCAGACGTTGTCTTGAGGACGCTGGATCAACACCAGCTCGGGGGTCTTTCCAAAGACTGTAACTTTTTACTCGCCTTCTGTCTTTCGCGGCCTCCTCGATCGTCCAACGCTTCCGACTCGTAGTCTCGCTAGTCTCCTAAAGCAGATCCGCCAGAAGAAGAGTCGTATCTTGGTCTGCGTTCTGTCTCGCGCGCCTTACGCTTCTCTCATCTCTAGGGACATCGGGTATAGCCGTGCTTACCGCGCTTATTCTGGATATCGTTCATCCTAAACTTTGGGCGGATAACCGTATGTTCATATGCTCGCTATGGCGCCTTCGCACCATTATGCTGTCACCCACGGTAGCTCAGTGGTAGAGCGCGAGTGGCATGTAGCGAGAGTGACGTTACGATTTGCGCTTGAGGACGTCGGTTCGATGCCGACCCGGAAGATGTACCGGGGAAAGTCATTTTTACGCGTTGTCATGCCCATTGTGCATACGAGCTATCCTCTGTGATGTACTAGCGTTTGCATACTACACGATGGCTTTGCCTGGCTGAATCATAAGCATTCGAGAAACCGGGTGTGAACGTACTTCCCTCATCTAGCTCTTGATATGGCTTGGAATGTGCCATGTAGCACCAAGGGGCAGAATATATATGTACCCAATTATTCGTGAACACAAACCCAAAAAATATGCGAACTACAAAATACACATTTAAACCAAGCGATCCTTACAATCTCCGACGCGGGCTAATATACGTGTGCGCTCCGCGATACCAGCGAAGAACGAAGGGAAAGGGGAGAATAATATATAAGTATGTCATGGAAAGTACGAGGCGATGTTCATGTTGAGAATGCGAGGAATGTGGTCGTAAGAGGTCGTTATCGTGTGAGAGAATGTACACTGCGAGACTGAAATATGATGTTGAGCGTGTAGTACGGATGGATGGATGGATGGATGAGGGGTGCGGGTATAGCGATGCGACTGCTGTGTGCTAAGTGCTGTTGACGGAAGTGCGAGCTACAAATGCAAGAAGACTGGCAAAGCGATAATAACAACATATGACTCGATCGGTCCGAACGAACGAAAGGTTTGCTGGACTGTGAGGTGACACGTTTGCACGGCGAGGGTGACGAGATTGCGGCCTGACGCTAGGCTGTGATCGGCGGGAGGCGCTGTGCAAGAGCCATTGCGGCAATGTGCTAGCGTTCAACGGTCCCAGAATAAGGAGAGGTTGGCATTCAGATCTTCAACTCCCTGAACCCCCGCACATCGACCCTCCCCGCACCGCTCTTCACCCACTCGCGAACGGCGTCACCTGCGTAGAGAAAGAGTGGATCAGCATGACTGTTAACTAGGTAGCAGCAAATTCGGGTACCCACCACCCTCCTTCGCCTCCACCGTCCCCGGCCTCCTAAACCGACCGCCAGGAATAACGATCTTCCCCGCACTCCTCCTCTCCCCACCAGCGCCCGCATTAACAACCCTCTCACCCACCTTCCTCTGCTTCGGCAATCCTAACGCCTTCCTCTGTCGCCTCGTCATCTTCTGCACCGGCTCAACGGGTACAACAGGCGGGGGAGGCGACGGCGAAGGACTCGAGCTAAGAGTCGAGATATCGGATAAAGCAGGCGTCATTTCCCTTTCCATCTCATCGTCTTCAATCTTCACGTCCTCTGAAGGTTGAGCAGCGAGATCGACCGCCGAATCCGTGCGAGCGCGTTTAGCCGAGGAAGCTTGAGACGAATCTGAAGATGCGCTCGTGCTCTCGTCAAAGGCACGTTTGGGGCTACGGCGTTCGCCGGGGAAGTTGTCGAGGTGGGCGGGGAGAGGGTAGGCGAGGGGGTAGGAAGGGTAGGGCGCGGATGGTGCCAGTGAGGCTGTAGGTGTTGACGTTGGTGGATGAGGAGCGGGCGAAGATGAAGATGGTAGAAGTGGGAGGCTGCCCATGGGTGGTGGCGGCGATGGAGTACGCGAAGCTGGTAAAGGGACGCGGGCTGGTGTGCTGGGTGCCGGCGTCGGATCTATGTCCATCGCAGATGTCGTAGAAACGGGCTTCTTCGTCGTGGATTTGGGCTTAACCTTGATCGTCGACGCGGGTTTGGCCGATCGTTTCCTGTCCTTTGTCGGCGTAACCAAGGGAGAAGAAGTCTGAACGGGAGAAGAGGGAGCGAAGGGACGCTCGCGAACGCGCGGGAGGCCTGCGTGTGGACCTCGGAGGTTACGGATGGACGAGAAGTGTTCCCAGTCGTGATATCTGCTCATCTGAGTATTTTCCCCAGATGAACATACAAGGAGAGCAATACTCACGCGACGTATACCGGGCCCGTCTTCTCGTCTCCTTCATCGTCGCTTTCCTCCTCTTCCATTTCCTGTGCAGTCGGTTCTGGGGGAAGGCCGGCAGCTTTACGAGCCTTACGCTCAGCCTTGCGTGAGCTGGGACCGGCAACGGCCGGGAGGTCGGGTAACGCAGAGGACGGCGAGGAGGGAGGACCGGCGTCCCAGCCTGCGGCCCACTCGATAACGTACACCAGACCGGGCTGGACGACTTTGACGTCGCGACGGGCCATGTGGGCGAAAGCGGAGAGCTCGAGGTGGCCACCGTACGTCGCTGTAAGATAGTAGATTGAGAATGAATTGATGAAATAATATGTGGGAGCGGACCGAGCTGGCGCATGCAGGACAGATGGGTCTCGATCCCGCGCTCGTCCTCGACGAAGGGCTCGTACCGCGCTCGATGCCGGTCGATCCACTCGCACACTGCTTGCCTCAGTGCGCCGTGGTGGGCCTCAGTTCCATAGATCTACAATGACTCAAAGTCAACTTCAAGCTTCTATAGCCTAAGAGACCAGCCTCACTTGATCGCTAAGAGCCCGAAAGAGGCAATTGCCATCGCCGACGGTGTCAGCGGCGTAGAGACCCAGTTGCCGGAGCTGGGCGCTGAGGTCGGCCGTGTTCTGTGCGGGATCCGACGCAAGCTGTGGCGCAGAGTTAAGGGCAGACTAAAGAGGCGGGGTAAAAAGCACGCACGCGCGATTTCGAGGAGCGGGTCGTCGCCCGGCGTGCAGAGCCTACTCAAAGGCCCATTTACTTTCCCTTTGCTTGTAACAGTCGGATAATGAGAGCCGTACCAGAAGCCTTTATAGGTTGGTGTCGCTTCGTTTTGCCCATGTATAGGTATGGAGAGAGGAGTGGGTTTGTATGTAGAGTAGAGCAGGCCCGGTCCGAATATCTTTCCGGCCTTTTCACTTCCACCGCCGCATGGCTTCCCCACGCTTTGCCGATCTATTGTCCGGCCCCCGCTTTTGCCTTTGGCTCTTTCCTGCCGCCGCCATGCAGATGCTTTGCTAGCTCTAATCGTACTACTACACATAGGATGACTTCATCTGTGCCCTGATGCTTGGGCTTGAGAATGCTTAGATAAGCTGTCGATATAGTTTAGCACGCGAGCGGACAGCTTTGATCGGATGCGTCATGATCGTGCCCACGCCCGAGCTTTGCATCCCGCGCCGAGGCCTGGATGTGCCTGGGCGCCACTGCCACTTCCTGTACGCTGCCATGTCCAACAGTACAATCTACACTACCGGACAGTATGCTTTTGTCGTAATTCGTTATTGCAGCGATAACGCCCGAAGTGGACATACCATGAACTACCGCGGCAGGCGCCCACTAGAGTAAACAGATGCAAAGGTAACCTCATCCCTATTATCCCTCGGGCCCGCGACGCGTCTCTTCTCCTGTTCCTTCGTCCCAGACTTCGTGCACCCGGGCCAAGCGGATACGCCTGCACATATCACAAGCGTACCCGAACGAAAGTGCGAGACGTTGGGTATCCTGTTTGCCACGCGTGCCTCTCTTGCTACCTTTGCGCGTAGCGCGACATATCCGAGACATCTACTTTTTTCGCGATGAAAATAGCCACATCGAAAGGACATCTACTTTGGAACACTCAAGTACATCCGATTGGTACTGCTCTCGTACGGCGACGCACTCTCTGTCCGCGGGCGGCCGGAAGATAAGGATCGACATCTGGCCCCAGTCCCTAGACGACGAACGCCTCTATTATGCCCCTCCCGCTATCGTTGCTGAAGCGCTGAAGTACTGTCCACTAAAATCCTTATCACCACCTCTGCGACTTGACATGAGAGCCGACGATCTAGACCACAGCATACGCGATGACCGGCGTCTGGACGATCAACCAGACGCAAAACTCAGACCGTTTAGATCCGGTAGACTCGCGTGGCCCTGTACTGCACTCAGTATCCTTCCGCCGTGGCTAAACTCTGTGGAGGCTCTGAACACCTTCGGCCACATTTATTCCTCCATTGTCTGAAGTAGTGCCTGGCTCTGCCTCTGAACATATGCCAGAGTAAAACAAGGTGGAGACGCCGCGCTCATTGCCGCGCCATACATGACATGTATTTCTGATGCCCACCGTTCGTGAACCAAGTGTATCCGAGGATATTGAATGGAGATACAGCACAGAAGTACGCATGAAACATGTTCAAGCTCCTCGCAATGGGCGGGATCGCCCCTCGGGTAATAACAACTTTACTCTGGCAACATAGCCCGACTCTCGCGTTTGCTCCCACTCGAACGCCCCTGAGTTGCCAAGATGTATGCGCCTGCGAGATCGACGACGTGTTCACCGCACTCCGCCCCTGTTTCCGGTGTTAGACATTTTTTGCATCTGCGCGACCGCACACGAGCACCTCACTTATAGACTGTGAGGGGTATATATCTTACACGAGCCGACCCCGACACCGCCGCTCTCCTTCATCCTCCGACAGACAGATACTCCCCACTCGCCCTTTACAGGTCACCATGCGCTCCTTTGGCATCTACGCTGTCGTCTGCCTCGCTGCGATGGCGATCGCTTCACCAACCCCGTACGCATCTCGCACAGCTTTACCCCCTCTTCATATCTGACACGTACACAGCGTTGACCCAGACGCTCTTGATTCGTGGACGCCCCCTCCTCGTCGCGACATCTTTTTACCACGCGAACCTGACTCCCTTGCCGTCGAGGCGCGCGAGGCCAAGAAGCGCTCTCCACTCATGTTCACGTTACCCCTCCGACTACCCATCAGTGGCTCCTTCAACGGTCTAGCCGTCACGCCTGCCGGCTTCCGTCGCGGCAGCACTGTCACCTTCGGACATAAGACAACGTTCCCGAATGGGGAGGGCAACAATCGTTATCCGTTCTTCTTCAAGCGCCATGGTTTACTCGAGGCCGTCGATATTGAAGAACTTGAGGCGTTGAAGGCCAAGATTCAGGCGCGGGATGCGGATGAGGAGAACTCAAGGCGTGAGGCCGATGAACGCGCTGCGCGAGAAGCTGAGGAACGGGCCGCACGAGAGGCTGAGGAACGGGCACGAGATGCTGAGGAGCGTGCCGCGCACGCGGCATGAGGCGTAAGTAAGGTGGAAGATTGACGCGCGGGAGTT